TCTGGCGTCTTTCATTAACACAAACTCCAAAAGGTTCACAATCCCAATGCTGAAAAGTATGTTTAATTGGTTCCCCGCAGTTACGCATTTTAACGCATATACCATTTCCTATTTCTAACGCAAAATCACGCATTTACCGTTTCCCCGCAATCACGCATTTTTACGCACTTTAAAAAGTTCATTTAATCTTCATTTTATTGCCAAATTCCTACTATTTTATACTTGCTTGAATCTCATAAAATAAGAAAATTTATTTTCTAATTAAAATATTATTTCAGAATATTATTTAGGGTAAACTTTAGAGAAATTTTTACCCCGCTATAAAGTGCTTGCAGGGAAATGGTGAAGTAATATTTCTGTGATGCGAGGATTCAATGTACGTTGCATAGCAATTCTGTAAGTTGTAAAGAGTTAAACTTTAAATCAATGTCAGTTTTAGCACATTTAAGTTTGTAACATTTTATCTGTACAAATAATTGGACTTTAAGATCACCCTCGTTCTTAATGTTGAAAATGTAATCAATAACCTGGATTTGTATCAAAACATACTTAAAGATAACTAAATGCGATGCAGTAAATTAAAAAAATATTGATCAAAGGTATCTTACCCATCTGCAGTCGTTCCTTACAATAGAAAAAAAAACTAAAAGAATTTAGTGTTAAATTGATGAATACGTTGTCTCTTTAATCATGCTCTAAATATTTTAAGGATTTAATAAGCATAAATTGAATTAAAAAACACCTAATCGTCTTCTTGTTGTACATGTATCATATTATATAAAAACAATTTATATGCATGTAATAATTTTTACCGAATAAAGAATCTAATCTTATATATACACACAATTTGTATTTATATTGCTTTAACATTATTTATAACACATTCTCTCTTTGCTAAATTTCTTTTATTTGATATTTTCGTATCAAAATATCGATTTTAAAATATCGTTTTAAGAATCAGATTCAATCAAATCAATGTAGATGTTTTGATGTAAAACAATGATAAATATTTGCTTATGAAGTATTGGTATATGAAGTGGGTGAAGATAACACACAACGATCAGATAAAATGTATTTTAAAAATATCTAAAAGACAAAAATTATATAAAAAGACAAAAGTGTGCTGAGGGCAAGAAAACGGAAAATTAGAAATGGAAATTTAACAACATAGAGACGTCTTCCTATTTAAAGATTCTGAAATGCCTATCGATCTGATGCTTTTAAATCATAGAAATTGTCTTATTTAAAGACCATGCATTTACATACCGGTAAAAAGAATCCATCTACTAAATGGTAATACTATGAAATAAATAGAGCATATGTAATAAGAGGCCCAAAAGCCACAGCGCTTACCTGAGCAACTGGCTAGATAAAAGCAAAAATCAGTTCAGTATAAAAAAAAATACAAGATTTAAATATTCTTATACTAGTAAAGTGGGTTCAGTGAGGGAGGGTATTTGAACAAACTTAAATATATACAGGGGATGCTTTTTAATTAAGATGATACATGATAAATTTGCTGTTTGTAACATGACTTTTTTTTAATATAGCCTTAAATATTATATTCACAGTCAGTTCTTGAAAAATTATGAAGGTATTTATGAATTGAGAAGATATTAAGATCTCAAGTTACAACGTTCAAGTATCAAAACGACATTATTTTAAGAATTAAAGTAAATCTACAAAGACAATTGAATTTTTAGATAACAATGACAAAAAGGTGGAATAAAATATATTTAGGTGTATAGATAGAGGATATTCAATGTTTTGTAGTTGAATATGGAATTTATTTCACGAGTGGGACAGGATTTTTGATATTTTCACGAGTGCGAAGCACGAGTGAAAATATCAAAAAATCCTGTTTCACGAGTGAAATAAATTCCATATTCAACTACAAAACATTTAATTTTCTGTTTATTACATTTTTAAAAAAAAATTCTTTGATTTTTCCTTTCTCTCTGTTTTTTTGTAATACTGTCATAGACTCGTGACGTCATAGTTGAGCAGTTGAGACGTCATAGCGATGTGAGGTGAAAACACTGTAAACATGAATTTAGCAACATATGTTTGGTAATTTTGACAGTTTTATTCGTCGTCATCTATCTTATATTAGGTCAAGGGAGATTTTCTTTACAGCAATCTTCGTTATGGGAAGGGAAATCGAGAGTTTTCCCGCACTTCTGATATTCGTCACACTGTGACAGGATATCATTTTGATATCCTTTCACAGTGTGACAGGATATCATTTTTATTCAATGAATAAATTACAGTATTTCACGGGTAAAATTGTAATAATTTTGTATATATACATAAATCTGGCCTTTGGTTATAATTTTTTTAATTGTAAATTTAAGGCACTTAACATTTTTAATTGTACCTTTAGATTTATCAGAATTGACAACAGGTATCTGAGTATTGAGAACATTACAATCACAAAAAGCAAAGTTGACTTTTTTTCTTTATTTGTTTTTAATTCAGATGTGATACAGTACGTTCATATATATATATATATATATATATATATATATATATATATATATATATATATATATATATATATATATATATATATATAAAATACATGGTTACTGTCTTGAAATATAAGCGATATTTGGGCGAGGGTAAGAAAACGTGATAGAGGGCGAGGCTTGCCGAGCCCTCTTACGTTTTCGACCCGAGCCCAAATATCGCTTATATTTCAAGACAGTTATCATGTATTTTGTTTATCCTGCAACAAAATTTTACATCTGAGCGTCCAAAACAAGCTAATTCTGACAGATTTAGGCACATCTCTGCAGTTGAAACTGTGACGCCATGGCGTAAACATTGGAATATACATGACGTCACAATGCTTTTAGAACGTCGGAATACATGCACGAGGCTTTATTAGGGCAGTGACCGGATAAAGCTTTGGTTTATTAGGTTACCTTTATTTGGTCAATGCAAGGGGTAGTTGCAGGATAAATATATATATATATATGAAAGCTCGTCTCAAAGGCCTAACTTTGATCGAATAAACCGTTACAATATAATAGAATGGTATGTTGATAAAAGCTCTCTAGTTGATAAAAATACAAATCTCACCAGTCTATTTGGAACTCACCTTAGATTATCAGAGTCTGAAAGCATCTATGGGTTTGTAGAATTCCTGCGTTATTTGGTTGCTAACTTTAGTTTTTGTAATCTGACCGAACAAAAGTCTAGTAGCTCTTTATTTAATGTATATAATGCCATTACAATTGATTTAAGTAACAACTTCTTAACCACATGGAAAATGATATCATACACAAGTGCTCTATTTACATCAATATTTGATCATATCATTGAATTACACTCTTGATAACAGACAGTCAGAGGCTCGCTTGCAGTATTTAGATCTTTCTTACAACAAGATTATCAGTATCAATGATGGAGATTTGGAGGATCTACCAAATCTTCTGTATCTTATTGTTCATGAAAATCATTTGATACATAGCCAAGAGCAAGCTTTTGATAAATTAACTAAGCTAATACATTTAGATTTGTCAAATAATAATCTACGAAATCTAAACCGTGGTCATTTCATGTATCTATCAAGATTGCAATATCTCAACATACAGAATAATGATGTTAAATTAGTGGAGGGAATGTTTGACAGTCTTATAAATATCCTTTATTTTCAGGCTGATTCTTACACCCTCTGTTGTGCACAACCTAAAGCTGTCAGCAAGATTCAGTGTGTAGCTTCAGTGAATGAAATATCCTCCTGCTACAATTTGATATATTTACATACATTTTGTATATTACTCTCCTTGCTCTGTTTGGGAATATGTCTGCTATATTTTACAGACTTCATCATGTAAAAAAGAAACCAGTCACAACGTTTGACATTTATTCTTTAAATCTGGGTCTTGCAGACTTCTTTATGGGCGTTTATCTTTACATTATAGCCGGGGCTAACATAGCGTTCAGCGGTCGTTATGGTTTTGAAGATTTCTCATGGAGACACAGTCCATATTGCATTTTTGCTGGTGTCCTGGCTACTCTTTCCAGCGAGGTGTCTGCTTTTTTAGTACTTTTGATCACTTTTGACAGAATACTTGTTGTAAGATTTCCATTTTCAATGCTCAAGATAAGGATCTTAGTATCAAAACTCGATTCCAGCTTTGTATGGACTATTGCTCTCCTTCTGTCTTTAATACCCCTTACTGGAATTGAATATTTTGATGACCTTTATTCTAGTTCCAGGGTATGTATTTTTTTGCCTTTACCTATTCTTTGAGAAGCGGGATGATTTTATTTGTTGGAGCAAACTTTGTCATCTTTATTGCAATACGCATCGGATAATTTCTAATATTTACGGATGTTGTTCGTTTGAGAAAGAAAATGGCATTGCACTCATTTGGTCAGCAGAGAAGACGAGAAATAGGCAAAGAAAAGACTTTAATAATAGTTGCAGTGACAGATATGCTTTTTTTTACTTCCGGTAATGAAATGAAAATCATTCAACCGTTAAATTACTTAGCAAAGTAAAAGATGTCCTTACTTTTTTGGTACATAGTAACTGTAAATATATTACATTTGGCGCGTACGATATTTGGCGGAAATTCAATTTTCAACAAGTTAGCGCAGATTTGATTTAGTGCTGTCTGAATTTGCTAGTTATAAAAATTAATATACAAGGTATTTAGCGATGAACTTGAATTAGCAGACTCTGCTTTCCGCCAAAACACCGCTAAATGTAATACGTTTTCATTAAATCCCGCATATAATTTTCACCCTAAAATTAAGGTGTTGCGTTTCTATTGACTGTGAGTATACATTTGTGTAATCAAGAGCAGTCAGCAGTATCATTAATTATCAATCAGACGTATTTGGGGACGGGGGCTAAATTTCTACTATGGTAATTATCATATCCTTGGATTTTATATGATATTGTTTCATATCTTTTACGTTTGTTTTAAGGTATGTCACTCATCAGCTTTTAAGAATAGTTCAACCAGATCCTCTTCCTTCAAAACTATGTATTAAAATTCAATTTTTATAACATACATGTATATATTTCAAAATGTCTCATTCTCAGGTGACCACAACAAATTTAGACAATGAACATACAGGATAAGTTACAAGCATATATTGAAATGAATAAGTGTAACAATTATCTCCATTAATAAAAATTAATGAACATAATTAAAAATTTCAAACGGTATAGTTCTTTTCTCAAGCATTTTCCTTTCAAAGGTAGCTGCTATGCAAGAAATCTATGCTTAGTTTTACTTTACTGGTTCGTAAATGCATAAAATGAAAAGAACATCATCATCTAAACTTTCGAAGCTTTTGATTTGATGTTTTACATAAAAAAAGCATCGTGATACTCTTTTTTCCCCAGAAGTTTTCACATATTTTTTATAAGTCAAGTGACAACTGAAAGTACAAATCAGGGTGTTCATATATTCATATTAAAGTAGCCGTAGCAATATCAACTAGGAGAATTGTATTTTCGTATAATGAAATAACTTATACATAAAGTTGTTTTTTTTCTAAACCAGGCTAAAGCTATAAATAGATAGAGTGTTAGTTTGTAAAACTGTTTTTTTTTTAGACAAAGAAAATATGGAGGATATCTTATCATTATTATTATGCCTGGTACATGCAGACAGCTAACTGAATATAGGCAACACTGTAATATTATACATGAAGAAAAGTCACACAAATACATGTTTTATTTCCTCTAGTGTGTGAATCATGTAAATACAGCACACGTGCATGCGTATGCCTAGAGAATGTGTATCATGGTAAAAAAAAAACTACCAAAAAAAAACAAAACAATTGCAAACGAATAAAATACCCCAAAAAATAGTTATAATAAACAGATAAAGTATTTAAACACAAAAAGGTATTACAAATTAATGAACATAATAGTTTGTCAAAATTTAAAAGATGTTTTGATTTTTAAGAAAAGAACTTTTATATACATTGAGACTTTACAAGATATATTTAAATAATGTAACAATACATGCAGCTAAGACATTACATAAAATGACTCACAAAGTGGATTTGGACACTCAAAATAATGGATGAGTAAAGATTTAGAACAAAAATAACGCAAAAATTTGTGTTTTAATTTTTTTTTCGCTAACTAATCTAAATATCTAATCTTAAAAATATTATTCCTCCTCTTCTTTAGTCCAATGCCTTAAATTAACGCAAACTTAATATCGCATTTAACTAAGGAATATGTCAATTCATTCATAAGTTAAGTTTGTCAGCGGAAACATAAATATTCAAGGTTACTTTTCTCTAAATTCTAGCGCTATCTCTGTGACCTGCAACATTAAAATAAATGTATTACATGTATTCTGGTTGTAATATCTTATACCAACAAGTTTTGTTTCATCTTTGCCCATCAAATAATCAGATGTGATCTTAACACACGTCATTCTTCAAAATTCTGAATTAATTAAACATACGTTAGCTTGCATTGATTCAAAACTTCTAGATCCTTAAGGTGTGCATACTGTAAGAATACCTTGTTTACCTGTAAGGTGTTCTTGCCGCTGTATATGTCTGTATATGTAAACTGTAGTGTATCCCATATATCCAACCCAAAGAAGGTGAGATCTGTGATCATAACTCAAGCTGTATGGACATCCCATTCCTTGTTTTTTTGTCAGTAGCACTGCCAGAAACTGACCATCCTTATCAATCATCTGTACTGTCTCTGTGTGAATATCACACACCAGGATGTGCGAAAGAGCATCTGTACAAATTCCTTGTGGTCTAAAGTTCGACCCTCGTGGATTTCCTTTGTAGGAGAAGCGATGTGCTCCAACAGAATCTGTTACCACTAAAACACCTACGGTTAAGGAATTATCAGTCAAATTAGAAACAACCACATCTCCATTTTGGTTTTCTGTGATATACCTGGGATTAAAATAGAGTTCCTGGCCGTGCTTGTGTTGCAGTTGTTGTCCGTCACTGCTGTACCTGCCTACTTTGGCTATATTTGTATCCCTTTGCCTCATCCCGATAAGAAAATCTCCATTTAACAAAGAGCAATAAATACTATTAGTTATCCAGGTTCAATCAAGGGTGTACGGGGATTTACCCCGGGTTTTATTCCATACACCCTGAGGCCGCAGGCCGAAGGGTGTATGGAATAAAACCCGGGGTAAATCCCCGTATACCCTTGATTGAACCTGGATAACGAATTTATTTCCTTTTTACCCCCAAAATGCTTTGTAAACATCAGAGTGTGTCTTAATCTATGGATTAGATAACTACGTACAACAATGCATTGTGACGTCAAGTTTTAGTATTTACACCCGGCTCAAGTCGGGTGCACGGATATTTACACCCGACTTTGTAACCAATCAAAACTCGTGTTACAAGCTAGATAGGAAATAAAGTTTGGTATCCAGGGTTCTATTATCTTCATTATTGTAGACGTAGTTTCATTGTTTAATTAGAGTTTCTTAATGCTAAAATTTTCATCTATGTACACAAGATTTCCTTCTCTAGTAACTGTGTGAACACCACTGTTTTTACATTTATCTTTTAGAATAAATAAATTTTCACCTGCTGTGTCTGTCAACTTTAAATTGTACCAACTGCTGACCCAGGCAATGTCTCTTGTCAAACAGGAGATATGAAGAATAACATCAAGAGCCCGTGTAGGTCTCGCTTTGAAAGATTTCTTTAACTCTGGTGGAGACATCACTCTCAACAGCTGATCATTTCTTACTTCTCTTTTTCTTGACTCTGTAATTTGGATTAATCCTAGGCAATTTAAAACACTATCTTTGTTGATTTCCTCACTTGGGATGTGAACGTTTACAATCAATGCACTCGGAGTGTCATTTATTTTGAAAGCAGAGTTTTTCTTAAAGACTTTAAGAAACTTTATTGCTCTGTTTGCTGACAGTTCAGATCTAGTTACATGTTTTTGTAAGTATCTAATGTGTCTCCTTTGATGTTTCTCGTTAGACTTTATGTATGGTATCATTTTCTTTATACCCTCTATGATAACTTTTATCTGATGCTTCAGCCTTTCAGCTTTGAAAACAATACTTTTTTGGATTTTGGATATTTCAATTTGACAAGATATAAAATCACGGTTGATTTCTGCCTGGATATAAAAATTATGCAGAATGATCTCACTTTTTAGATGAAGAATTCTTCCCTGATTTTGTTCCCGGTAAGATTCATAGACCGACTTTAGATCCTGAGTTTCGTGTATTAGGTGCCCTGCACAGTCAGAACAAAGAGGAAGATTACAAGTTAGACACCACATATCACAGATCATGCCTGGGTGTCTCTCACAAGTCTCCAGTAACATAATGTCTCCATAATTTAAGCTATCAATCACTACATCATGGTGTTTTGTGTCGAAGTCTATCACATGTTCCTCCTTACAGGGTACACACAAATCTTGTTCACATGTCCTACAGTAGTATTCTGCATTGCTCTTACATTGAGAACACCCTGGTAGTTTTAACTCTGTTGAGAATGATTTATGCATAATATTGATTGGTTACATAAAGTATATTTTTAAAAAAAACTTAACAACCGTTTTCTTCATTTGCTTTTTCATGCCATGGAACAACCTACAAAGAAAGGAGACGAGGAGTCATGGGAATTATCCATCAAAATATAATTTTTCAATTAAAAATTCTTATATATAACTGTAATGTTTTTTTTAATAGTGCCAATGCAATTTTGAGTACATTTACAGTCAAAACTGCCATAGCGTCCCACTGTATTAAGCGACTCACTGCCATATGTGACCGTAAAAATTCCCCCCAACGCTTTTCCCTATATTTTCTACCTGTATTAAACGACCACCTGTCTAACACGACCAAGGACTGTGACTTTCCTGACCATTGTATGAAATTTCAATCAATTTCACCTGAATTTAACGACTACATAATTTCTGATTCCTACTTTCGATTTCGGTCGAGCATGCTTCGTTTTTTTGGTTCAAAACAACTACAGACATGCTTTTATTTCATTTTATAATTATATAATGCAAGTTTTACGAATAAAATAAATTTATGAAAATATATCTTTACTTACGCTTTGATATCTTTTGGATAAACATTAAAATCTAAAACATAATCATCATGTTTTTTTCTGTCCAGTGATTGAGCGCCATTTTGAAAATAGACGTGTAACAGGAAAGGAGAAAATGTATGGCTGGACCGGGAATCGAACCCGGGACCCCTGCAACACTAGTCAGGTGCTCTACCAACTGAGCTATCCAGGCCGATATCCACGGCCCTAACCATTACATTCCTCCCTCCTTAAAGGTCTTTGGCCCTCCAAAGACCCCAACCCAGGCTCATCCCTGGCAGGTCTTTCACCTGTCAATTCCAGGGCATGGCACGGCACCAAATCTGTAACAGGAAAGGAGAAAATGCATGGCTGGACCGGGAATCGAACCCGGGACCCCTGTATCTCTAGTCAGGTGCTCTACCTACTGAGCTATCCAGGCCGATATCCACGGCCCTAACCATTACATTCCTCCCTCCTTAAAGGTCTTTGGCCCTCCAAAGACCCCAACCCAGGCTCATCCCTGGCAGGTCTTTCACATGTCAATTCCAGGGCATGGCACGGCACCAAATCTGTAACAGGAAAGGAGAAAATGTATGGCTGGACCGGGAATCGAACCCGGGACCCCTGCAACACTAGTCAGGTGCTCTACCAACTGAGCTATCCAGGCCGATATCCACGGCCCTAACCATTACAGACGTTTGAGGTCGATCCCGATATCATTTCATTGCTATGAGGGCCAAATGGATATTCAGAGCTTTATAAATTATAATCCTTGTAAACATTGTTATTTTTATTATCGAAGGTGATTTTCCGTGGAATGTTTCCACGATCTACCTATGGATTTCTTCTTATCGATAACGTAACAATCACTGACGGAGAATGCGGTAAATAAACTATAAAAAGCTTATGATACTTACTTTTTTCATAGTTATATAATATAAATTTAAAGACAGGATTATATTTGTTGTTTCTGTTTCATAACAAAAAAGTGCAGTCTTAGTGAATTCAAATGCAGTGATTGATTGATTGTATACTGTTTAACGTCCCTCTCCAGAATATTTTACTGATATGGAGACGTCACCATTGCCGGTGAAGGGCTGCAAATTAGGCCTATGCTCGGCACTTACTGCCTTTGAGGGATCTTTATCGTGCCACATCTGCTGTGACACGGGGACTCGGTTTATACGGTCTCATCCGAAGGACCGACCCATTTAGTCGTCTTTTACGACAAGCAAGCGGGTACTGAGGACCTATTCTACCCGGATCCCCACGGGGCTTAAAGTGATGTGTAGTAGGAAAGGAGAAATGCACGAAGAAAATACATGGCTGGACTGGGAATCGAACCCGGAACCTCTGCATCACTACATGTAGTCAGGTTCTCTAACCACTGAGCTATCCAGGCCGATAGCCACGGTCCTTAAAGCCTGAACTTCTACATTCCTCCCTCCTTAAACAGTCTTCGACCTCGAAGACACAAGTTCTAGGGCCCTTCAAGGAATTACTTGTTTACACATATACTGTAATCTGAAAAACCCCCCCCCCCCCCCCCACTGAAGTTGCAGTATGTACATGTCCAAGCTACGACGATTTATTAAATCGTACAGTCAAACGATTTATTAAATTGTACAAACGATTTATTAAATCGTACAAACGATTTTTTAAAAAAAATTCTACATTGTTAAAATGGCACTAATACGCCGTCGTACCAAGCGTATCATAATGTAAACATTTATTTATTCTTAAGCATGGCTACTGATTACTTTGAAAGTACAAAATATTTATATACACCCAACAGAATAAGACAAGGGCCAACTGGAAAATCTAATTCTTTGCAACAAATTTTGTAAAGAAGGCGGAAACAAAAAGTAAACTATTAAATCTTTATAATAAACATCTTAACAATATTTAACTGTCAAAACAACAAGAATTTTCATCAATACAGGATTTCAAGCTAAATAACAATCGTGTTTCAGTGTTTTAATCAGCCTGGGAAGTCCAAATTTTATTTTCAGTATCTTGTATCGCCACCTCTCGCCTTAATTACTTCCCTACATCGAATTGGAAAAATGTTGAGTAAATTTCGGAAGTAATCCTGTTGAATCCTTGACCATTCCTCAACGAGAGCAAACTCAAGTTCCCAGAGCGTGTTGGTTTTGCCTTTCTAAAATTTGCTTCTGGAGCATGTCCGATGCATACTCTAATAGACTAAGGTCAGGTAATTTTGCTGGCCAATCCATCATTTGGATTGTTTCTTCTTCTAAGTAATGGCGGACCTCTCTCGCACGATGGGCCTGGTATTGCCATCCATTAAAATTAAATTTGCACTAGTGCCACAAGCCGTAAGGCCTAATAATTGGTGCAAGGATCGATATCTCATCCCTGTAACAAACACCTGTTAGTGATCCATTCCTTATGACATAAAGGTCTGTGGAGCCATCGTAACTGATACCTGCCCAAACCATGACTGACCCACAACCAAATTGAATATGTTCAGTGATGAAACAGTCCTTAAATCTCTCCTTCGTACACGCCTGTGACCATTATACCTGACAGAATCTGGATTCATCAGTCGATAACACTCCTTGGATATGATGATGGTCCCAGTTGGTAGTCTTGAGCAAACAGGAGGTGACGGTTTCGATGTTCCACAGTTAAGATGGGCACACAGAAGGTCTTCTGGCACGTTATCCCGCATCATGCAGTCTGTTACGCAAGGTTTGTGCGGAGATCCATCTACATGTTGCTAGAGATAGCTCATCCCTGTTCAGAGCAACAGCTGAAGACATTCGGTTTCTCTTGGCAAGTAGTAATATTTGTCTATCTTTGCAAGTTGTACTTTTGGGCGACCACTTTTAGGTCTCCGTTTGACGCTATTTGTCTGTGCGTATCGTTCAGACAAATGTCTTTTTACAGAATGACAAAAACAAAGTTGTGCACCAACATGACGTTGTGAACATCCAGCTTCAATCATCCCTTGAAGCTTCCGTCAGATGTCTTCTTTGAGACATGAAAACTTATTAATGGCAAAATGTAACTAATATACTTTACAAAAATCGAATTCTGTTCCTTTTGGAGTTTGTCAGTGAGTAAACAAGACAGCCAATATCACAGGAATGTTGATAAAGCTAAACGTTCAATAAACCAAAATCGCAGAAAATGAGTACAAATCAAAAGTGTGTTTAAATAACAATCTATAAAAAATTATATAGAAACCCAGAAAAAACAAGTGCAACATTGAATTGTTATAGTAAAAACTTTCAAAAAGTAAGTGACCCTTAACTTTTTTTGATAAGTATATATTCATTACACAGTCGATTTTTGAAAAATTAGAAAGGAATTTATGAATTGAGAAAATGTTAAGATTTTAAGTTACAAAACGACAATTACTTAAGAATAAAGAAAATCTACAAAAAACTGGAATTTTTAAATTACAATGACAAAAAAGGGGATAAAATATATTTAAGTGTATAGTTTTTACATATACATACATAAATCTTGACTTTGGATACAAATTTGTTATTTGTATTTTTTCTAGCATATTCTAATAATCTTTCATTTTAAAAACAAATGTGACATTTCAGTATACATTTTGTTTTACTAATAATTTTATACAATTCAATCGTTTAAGATGCACAATCATAACTCTCAGAGCTCACATACTTGAAATGTTTTCACGTTTTTTCCAGACTGGAATATCATTAGATCATCATGCAGGATACACGAAAGCTGTAAGCTATTAAATAAAACTTTGCCCCAAAAAGAGGACAGTCCTCAGAAAACAGAAAAGAATTTAGGCCAATATTTCATCTTTCCATTCATCAGTGTAAACAGAAGGACCACTGTCTATCGAATTCTTCAGATACCCGTGTCATATATTGCCTCTGGTTGTCTCTGCAATGGTTTGTCTGTGAACTTCTCTTCTGACAATGTTCCATCTTATACTACTTTTATAACGTGTCATGATCTTGTTCAAGAAAACATGGAAATAACCAGGGAAAGGTTTCCTAATGTTAAGGCACTTAACATTTTTAATTGTACCTTTAGATTTATCAAAATTGACAACAGGCGCCTGAATAATAAGAGCATTGATTATTTATTTTATTATTATCATTTATGAATTCTTTGAAAATCTAATACAAGAACCACTGACCCAGGGGCCAGAAATTCACAATTTTGGAAGAGACTTCCTTGTTCGTGATAACTATGTACGTGGTTAGTTAGTTTAAAATACAGGAGAAGAGAAGATTTTCAAAGAAATGATGTATTTTCACTACTGTAGATCACTAAATTTTCGCGACACATTATTTTCGCGACATAGTCATTGAATCCTGATTAGCGAGACAAAATTTTCACGAGTTGTGGTTATTGCTCTATATATTCTTAAGGAATACTATTATACGCGAGAATTAAATTTTCGTGAGTACACTTTCTCGCGAATATAAAGTAATTTACAGTATATAATTTATATAGCCCTGCCCTAGCACTAGATCCTCTCACCCTTGGGCCATGAAATTCACAAGTTTGGAAGAGCTAGCTTTATTCAAGATAACTATGTACTTGGTTGGTTTATTTAACGTCAATGAATAGGAAAGAATATCAAAGAAATAATGCATTTTCCCTATAATCTATTTAGGCCCACCCTAGCACTAGAACCCCTGCCCAGGGGCCATGAATTTCACAATTTCAATTCTATCTGGATATTTTGCGAGCCTGTTTTTTATGAGATGCGGCGTACAGTCGCTTTAAAAAAAATCGTTTCCTTTATTTAATGATATTGTTTATCTTTATTCAATAATGTCGTTTTCTTTATTTATTTAATTCGTTTTTCTTTTTTTAATAATTTCGTTTATTTATTTTTGGTTTGCACAATTGATCTTACGTATAAAGTATAAAGTTGATTCTTTTTGTTTTGAAATCGTATCAACAACGACGCACGGCAGATCGAGTTATTTTCCTTTCCCAGGTATTGCATCACTCCATGAATGGACATTTAAATACTACTATTAAGATTGACATTTTTTAAGTGTTTAAGGTTATCCGACCCTCAGGTTCTGAAAATCAGGCAATGAGTAATTGAAAATGCTCACAAAGATGTCTTT